AAGCAGTGGTATCAACGCAGAGTACTCCCTTGTCACTAACAGTGAGACGAATAGTGCCGTTGGAAGTCAATTCACGCAGCTCCTTGAAACCCTGCCTTTGCGCATCGCACTTCAATCGATTGAAGTGCGAGTCGAAAGAAGAAGCGTGTCGCAGATTGTTGAATGAATACACATGGAAGAGGATTGAGAGCGCGTCAAGACGGATCTGCGAGTCTATACGATCTGACGCCAAATCCAAACTCCGTAAGAAATTTGACATACTCTCTAGTGAACATGAATTAAGTCAACTCAGTGTTGAACACCATCCAGTGAACCAACGGTCTTCTACTCATTTAGCTCCACATACGACTAATGAAACGGCCAGGGTCACTGTCATAGGCAATGTTCATGTATCTGCCAACGCATTAGACCTACTCAGCTTAGGACCATCCTTCGCGCCTACACAAACGGTCAACTCCATGGTATATCGCAAAGTTCTAGGATCCTTGCAGCGGTTTAGAGATCAGTTGCGCGCAAAAACCAGGCACGATAACAACTTGCAATCTCCCTCTGTCCAATGTAAAAGGGTACTTCCTCCTATTCCTTTTCCATCATCCTTTTACAAAGAGACCGATCCTTGTCATGAAGCGGATGTTAAACTTCGTATACTGTCGGCAGGAATTTTGAATGTTCTTAACAAACATCGTGGTATGTAACAGTCTAATTTAACATATGCGCAAAGGCAGGGTTTCAAGGAGCTGCGTGAATTGACTTCCAACGGCACTTTTCGTCTCACTGTTAGTGACAAGGGAGGCGAGTTCGTTATTATGCCGCAAACGCTCGATCGCAACATAACTGAACTTCATCTATCAGATGCTACAGTTTATCGTCGCTCAACCGAAAAAGAATTCCTTTCTCAAAGCAAGCGACTCAATCACATCTGGATGATGATCGGAAAGCAAGCGGGACTAGATGAAAAGTTTCTCAGTAGGCTTAAAATTGAAAATCCGGCTTGTCCTGTCTTTTATAGTCTCGTAAAGACACACAAACTCGACTTGACTGATCCACGAGATGTGACCGCTGCGTCTTGCAAAATTCGACCAATAATCAGCTGTGTAGGTGGGCCAACTGACAGAATTTCGTGGTTCCTTAGCAAGATCGTTAGTCAACTCTTATGTAAGATCCCCGCCCATTTGCCGAACACAGGCCGCTTCCTTGATCAACTACGCAAAACGCACTTTGACCAGAATTGCGTAATGGAGTCATTTGATGTTACGTCATTATACACTAATGTGTCCAATAATGACGCCTTACAAGCGCTCTCTGAGCTGCTCGATTCACATATTACCAATATGGAAACATACGGGCTCAGTAAAGCGCGCATCATCTCCTTGGTCAAGGAATGCCTGGCATGCAACGTCTTCAAATGGTCGGGACAATATTATGCACAACTAAGAGGACTAGCGATGGGACAAAGACTAGCGCCCGCGCTCGCTATTTGCTTTATGAGCAAAATAGAGGAGCCGGTATTATCACGATGTCCCCTGATGTACTGCCGTTACATCGATGATTGTTACATTGCTACTGCAACTCAATCCGAAATGGATGAGTGCTTAAGAATCCTCAATGAACAATCACGGTACATCAGCTTGACAAGACAGAGACCACACGATGGCTGGCTACCATATCTAAATACACAAATGATGTTGGAAAACGGAGCAGCACACGTCAAATGGTATCGGAAGGAGAGTTCTAAGAATATAATTCTGCATGCCACATCTGCGCATCCATCTGCTGTAAAACGAGCGATTATTCGCAATATGTTTGAAACAGCGCGCGATGTTTGCAGCGGTGAAGTTGAAAGACTAGAATCTACGAAGCTGGCATACGAGATAGTTGTCAAGAATGGTTACCAACTGCAGTCCAGATCTCGCAAGAGAACATGCGCGAACGCTAGCAGTCAGACTCGACCACGTATATCGCTATGCTTACCGTTCGTGTCCGATAGAGTAAGCAACGCTTTTAAGCAATGTCTAGTACAAGCGCAATTGGCGGATGATGTTGTTTTAGTGAACATACCCCAAGACAACATCAAAAAGCAATTGGTCCGCAATAGATTGTATGACAGACAATGCGTAATGCAAGACTGCGTTGTTTGCACGAATGAGAGGTTAGGAGACTGTTCGAAATGCGGAGTGATTTACCAGCTAGAATGTAAGATATGCCATGCCATTTACATAGGCGAAACTGGTCGACCACTTCATGTACGTGTCAGCGAACATCTGGCGAGTAAGAGAAGGCAAAGTCTCGTAAGCCCTCTTGGAAAGCACAGGAAAGAGGACCATGGAGGAGATGATTTCGAAATCCAGTGTTGCATTTTGACTGTCGAAGAACATATTGCTGCTCGAAAAGCGTTAGAGGCTTCATTCATACTTGCCCGTAATCCTAAAATGAACAGCAAGAACGAACATTTGTCTATCACTAGTGATCTGAAGCCGTTTCTACCATTTTGCGAGCTATGAGTAGCCTACACTATTTAAGCGTGTCGTACTTATTCGGACCGCTCATTTTGTCATCATCTGCTGTGGGCGACCGTCAGAGAGAGCTAACACCCTTACGCTCCTCACCAGGAACACTTGGTAAGCTGTTCAACTTGAGAACTTATCTGCGTCACAATAGATGAGTCAAATGTACCATTTGTAGGAAGTGTCTGGTGGTCTAGATCGTTTGATCAAAGAGTGATTGACTCGCTTTCAGGCCCCTGAAGACGGCATTCAGCCGAAACGTCGGACAGTAAATAAAGTGTTCCTTTAAAAACCTGTTACGGCTTAAAACAATTGAACAAGTGTAGTGGCCATTTTTGTTCAAACAAGATATCAGATCGTAGGTGTTCCAAATGTTTTTCAAAAAAGTGGTGTACAAAAAAATAAGAATCAAACAAATGCAATGGCTGGAAAAAGCAGGTGGATTTCTAATTAGTGTCCAGCTTTCGGTAGGGAATTTTTCGAATTTTTCTATTTTCTCCTTTCGAAAACTAAAAGGATCGGAAGCCGTTTCATCGAATCATGGTAGACTACGATGCGCACTATACAGGAAGTAGCAGAAGGTACATGAAAAAAATGCAAATTACGGTAACTTGAGTGATTCATAACATTGCCCAGCACTGTATATTTATGAGCTTAAGTCTAGTTAGGACTGAAAATAATGGCCACAATGATGAAAAGAATATGGGGAGGACGACTACCATCGAAACATGGCATGGAAAAACCAAAAATGAACTTTTCGCAGAGCGCCACACTTGATGGGGACTACCCTGCATATCCTACCACCTTGGTTTTTCTTATTGTGAAAGGATTATAATGATTATAGCACTGCGACATGCGCGCTCCGAAACTAAGACGGAACTCGCAAACCTTGGCTGAGCTTGAGATGTCACTCAGTAGTTTTTGGATTGGTTTATGTTTTCAGGTTATGTTGCGGAGGTGCCGACACTCTCGTTCTGTTGCTAACAAGCCCCCCCCCCCCCTCCCTCCCTCTTTCACAGGTCTGTAGCTTGTGGTACGACTGATTTCGAAACTTGTTGTTTGGACTGCTATGGTTTCCAGATCAAACAATAGAAACAATAGTACTACGTTCATCATGCTGTCACAATCTTTTTACATTTTCTTATTTCTTTTAAGTATTTATGGTCTCATGGTGAACAAGACAGGATGATGACTGATGAGGACAGTTCTTTCGTTTTCCTCGTAACATCGGTTTGTAAGAAGCCCCAGGACAAATTTTCAAGTCTCTAAGCGGCTCGCAGAGCTCTTATTTCTTGAAAATCGATCTTTTGGCTGTTCATAAGGATATTCAAATCTATAAGCGGCTCTTATGTAGCACTTTTTGAAATATTGGTTTGTAGGCGCTCATAGGGCAAATTTTACTCAAAGTATGGGTCAAGCTCTTTATAGAGCATTTTCTCATAATTATGTATGTGTGTCGGGAAGAGGGAGGATAAGATAGTGGGCAGTTCTTGAAGCAGTTCTTTGTTTAAAAATCGGTCTTCAAGCAGTTCATAAGACACTTCATTTTCATGATTATCGCGTTGTATACAGGCATGCGATAAGTCGAAAGCTGTAGGTGAAAGAATAAAGTAAGACCTAGCAGAGCGCATTTACCAGCAACTCTTTCCCTCTTAGCTACATTTGTGAAAATTTTAAAATTTGAAAAAGGCCAAAATTACGTGTACAAAAGCAGGCACAAATGTTTTTTTATTTGCATTAAAAATCCCTAGGTTTGAAAAATTGTACAGATTCTTACTGGTCGTAAAATAACCTCTAACACTCTCGCTATCCTTTGATGGCTAGGAAATGCCTGTCGCTTCTTGCAGTGGAGCATCACGTCAAAGACAAGTTTGCGGACAATGGCTTCTTCAAGCGTTTAATTCATTTGATAGCCAAAAGCTTGCACAACCCAGAGAAATTAAGCTTTTTGAGAAAAGTTGATTCTAAAAGAAGCCATGATATATTGAACTTGAAAATGCAAATACACAGAACTTATGCAGCAACTTTATATAAACCTTCCCAAAAAAGCAAGAATACCTAACTTTACGTATTTAAAATACTGAAACTTTACTTAACTTTCTTTCCATTATACATGAAAAGAAAGTTACGAAAATGAACATTATAATGCGAAGAAAAGAAAGTGGGTAATTAAAGTAACGATTACTTCTCGTGAGCAAAAACGCAGTAAATGTATAGTGATAACGTCCACCTGAACATGTCGCACTGGAAATGGGGATACTCACGGAACATCTGTAAAACTGTCGGTCTGATACTTTTTATTGCCTATGATGACAAACTCGTTTTACCTGGCAAGTCTCTTTTTCGCCTTTGTATGTATGTCTGGAGATATGCGCGGCAAACGCCATTGGATAAAAATCAAGGTGATTTAGTGGATTATACCTAAATTTAGTTACCTCTGATATCAAGTTTGAGAAGGACACAACCGGCCTGCGGAACTCACCCCAATCCTACGCGATAGTAATACCCACGAAACTCGGTTGTGTTTGAATATCCACCCACATGTCTTTTGAGGAGATTGAAGAGTTTCATTGAGCCATCATATTTCTGAAGAACTTTTTCAGACAGGGTGAAAACGAACCGTAAAAACGATAACTAGTTTAACGGTGCAAGGCGTATGGCAACTTTCAGTAAACCTTTAAGGTACTCGACGATGAATTTGTTTGTCTAAACGAAATGTTCGTCGTGTTTGCTGGCGGAAACATTTCGGATTGGCTTGAACAATGGTGCGTCGGTGCCTTAAAATTGCTGCAGGATTTGTGGCTATAGGTGAGACTGACCAAATCTCCTGCCGTGCCGCGTCTTTTGCAAAATCTGCTGAATCCAGTTTCGAAGGCATTTCTCCAGTCTTCTCTTTCCAAAGGGCTACTGTGTTCGTTGGCATTCCAACTGTCAGGGTTACGACGATCCAGAATACTATAGACAGGTGATATCTGAAAGGGCAGTCATTACCTGATGAACATCAATTATTATAACTTACTATGAGGAAATATTGGAGCCACATTTTTGGGATAATGCTCGCTATTGCTCAAGCGCATATAAACTAGCGTACTTTCGCAAATAGGCACCTGTTAATACGATAAATTGCACCTGATAAAGTGCGTAAACGTAAAATATAAACATTTGGTTATTATTCGATAGTTGTTCATATGTTATTCTGGTAATATTTGAAATTAAGTGCCCATATACTTGCACTGAGTCATCACTCTAGTCATATTTGAGAATATAATAGTGCTGTTTGGACATGGTGGGTGTCTCTAGGTCTGCGTAATCAGCACACGGACTTCCCTAGGCTATACACACTACTATATTTTCAATTATTTTCTAAATTGATGATTTAACCCTAGGCTACTCTGTGTGCTGATTACACAGGTCTAGAAACACTCACCGTATCCAGACAGCACTACTATATTTTCCAAGATGATTAACTGATGATTTAATGGAAGTATACTAGCACTTAATTTCAAATATTACCAGAATAACATATGAACAACTATCGAATAAAACCAAATGTTTATATTTCACGTTTATGCACTTCATCATGAAGTGCAATATAGTATTGAACAGTGCCTATTTGCGTAAGTACTCTAAAATGAATATGCTTAAGCATTAGCATTATCCCAAAAATGTTGCTTCAATATTCCTTACATAGTAAGTATAATGACTGATATTTATCAGGTAATGACTGTGCCCTTTCAGATATCGCTAGTCTACTGTGTTCTGGATCATCGTAACTGCCCTGACAATTGAGGACTTACAAACCTAAAAGCCCTTTGAAAAGAAATGATTGAAAAGATGCCTTCGAAAAGGGACTCAGATTTGCACAGATTACGGCACGGCAGGAAATCTGGTTGGTTCTGCATCTATAGCCACAAATCTTACAGTAAATTTGAGCCACCAAAGCACCATTGCTTAAACCAATAAAGAAATTTTTTTTCAGCAAACATGAGGAATACTTCGTTTAGACAAAAAGATTCATCTTCGAATACCCAAAAGATTTACTGAAAGTTGCCATGCGCCTTGCACCGCCAAACTAGTTATCGTGCTAAACGTTCGTTTTCACCCTGTCTGAAAGAGTTATTCAGAAATATGGATCCTCACCGAGACTCTTTGATATCCTCAAAAGACATGTGAATGGATATGCAGACAAAAAAGTTTCGTGGATTCTACTATCGCGTAGGGCTAGGGCGAGTTCCGCAATCCGCATGTCCTTCTCAAACTTATTCACTCCATTGAACTACTTTGACTATTATACAAAGGGTTTGCTAACTGCATCGCCAGACATACAGGCAAAGATGCAAATGATATATACCTTCAAGGTAGAACGAGTTTGTCATCACAGGCAATAAAAAGTATCAGACGGATTGTGAGAATTTTGAATTTTATCAAAACAAATGACACAAGCCAATAAATGTAATTGTCTTTTAGCTGAGATGAAAAAAAAACTTACATATCTTCCGTGATTATTCCGTTTTTCCGTGGGACACGTTCAGCGTTATTTACGGCATTTTCGCTCACTGATGATCGTTACTTTATTATCCCACTTTCTTTTCTGCATTATATTGTCCACTGTCGTAGATAACTTTTTTTCATGTAAAGTGAAAAGAAAGTTGCGTAAAGTTTAAATATTTTGAGTGCGCAAGCTCGGTATTTTCGCTTTTTTTGGGAAGGCTTATATAAAGTTGCGGCATAAGTTCTGTCCGTTTGCAATTTTTAAGTTCAAATATCATAACTTCTTTCAAAATCAATTTTTTTCAATAAGCTTAATTTCTTTGGATTGAGCAAGCTTTTGACTATCAGAAGGATCATAAGCCCGACGAAATCGGTGCTGTAGGACAGGGCTGTAAAATTTTTTTGCATCGTCTTCTTTGAACCTGTCTGTTGACGTGATGCTTCACTACAAGAACCGGCAGGCATTTTGTAGCCATCAAAGGATAGCGAGAATTTTAGAGGTTAATTTACGACAAAATTGAAAAATTTTGAAAAAATTGAAAGAATTTGAAAGAAATTAAATTTGTACAATTTTTTAGACATGTAGCAGAGGCAAGTGTTTCGCTGTCGCAACCGGGCTACGGTTTGCATGGGGAGCCCGCCTCCGTAATCTGTTAGAATATGGTGTTCTTGAAATGTTCTTTAGAGGATTTCTAAGCTCGGCAATGTCTTAGACGAACTTTGCTCGAGCCCGCGTGTGATTGCAAATTTTCTGATTTTTTTTCAAAACAGAAAATGGTTTTTAGAGTTAAAATCTTTTCGAGTTTTCCACGCATTTACAACAATCAATCATGCTTTCGAAAATGTGTTAGAATCAGCTCCACAAAATGAAGAGGAGTTCTAAGACTTGAGAAAGTATGCATATTCATGGTTGATTCGGTATACAGGCTGTCCCAAAAATGAACCAAGCTTTGAATTGTCCATACTCCCTAGCTTCAATGTCTTTCACGAATGAATTCTGCGTAGCTGGTTTTAATTCATATTTATATGGGCAAATTATCACTTATTGAAAATATTTAGAAAACTCATTTACTTACTCTGCCAACTCCCAGCCCCTTAGGCAAGAGGCATACCTCATGCGATTTCAGTCGCCACGCGATCTGGCAATTTGCCAGATGCCTTCAAATTCAATACTGTTAGACCCCAAATGCGCAGCATGTATAACCTTCGTAGGTTGATAAAATGCTCCATCTTCCATACATTCAGAAAACCCGTACGATGAGTTATGAGCATTTGGAGTATTGCCAAATCTCGTCGAGACTGAAATTGCGTGAGGTATGCCCGAGGCCTTAGCCAAAAGCTTGCAAAAACCGATAAAATTCAACGAATTTTACGAAAACAAAAATAGCTGACGACACCCTCACTGCCACCGCAGTGCATATGTGCAAAGTTTCGTGCAATCGGCTTGAAAATAGATATTTCTATTATAAACGTGCATACAAACAGACGAAGACGTACAAACAGACATTTAGCTTTATTTATAAGGCTGAAAACTAAGTTTTGCAACTTTTTTCACAACTTTCCTCTCTTTGGATATGGCGCACTCATATTTTGGCAATATATAGAGCGCAATGCTACGATTGCGCACAAACTGTTTGCATTTTGAAAACGAGTTGAAAAAATTCCAGGTATTCCTCGAAAATTAGTGAAATTTGAGAATTTTCGGGGTTTTAAGCCAAAATGAAGCCTACAGCAGCAAAAAGTGCACAGTAATCCGGAATCGTATACGAATTATTGCTAAGGTTGTTGGACTTGTTTGGCTCAACAAGAAAATATCAAAATTCGATACCATGTCGAGATTTGGCGCAATCACAAAGTCGAATCAGCCAGCTGTGCGCAAGAGTGCTGGGGACAACCGTCAGTGACCAAGGAGTCAAAACATCAAACTTTGCCAAGACTTCACCTAATAGGTTTATTTGACCTGCCAAACACGAATCTCATATTCATTTATTAAATTAACGTCTCCTTTCTTGTTCAGGTTTGAGACCCTATATAGTAGACCTACAGCAATCTTAAAAGCCCTTATCACGCAATGTCAGTATCGTTTTCGTGATCAGCACGTTGGACAACCCCCTTACAACCAAATTTTGGCCAATTCTGTCAAATTTTATAATTTTCCCCCTTACACCATATACCTACCGTATTCCCACTGCGACGCCAGAATTTGATAAAACAGCAGCTGCTCTTGTATCTTACGTCATAACATACAAAATGGTAAAATTTGAGTGTGCCATATTGAGAGAGAGGAAAGTTATTAGATAAGTTGCAAAACTTCTTTCCAACCTAACATATAGATAGCGTGTGCGTACATATGCCTTTACCACTCAGAATCTTATAGTGCGATTACAAAACCTATGCAGCTAAACAACCTTTTCCCGTGTTCGATATAGCCTATAGTCGTCCTCACCCCGCTAGTCGGTCAGTAGATGAATTCGAATTTAAACTGGAGCAGTCCGGTCGCGGCAGAGCGCGGCAGCCGAACCCTCAGTTCAGAACTATGCATGTTTCTTTTTAGTTTTATTACACTTTTGCTTATTACATGTACTAGCCAATGTTTATAGTCAACCTTGCGTTTTGCTATTGTTGAGTGTTGTTTCGCGCAATCATGCTCGGTTTTTGTTTGGATGTTTATTTAAGCTTCTAGAAACGATGCAGATGGCAAATTTTTGTGACATCGATCACTAAAACAACACTTCTCCACGTGTCATACACAAGAAAAAGATTTACATCAGAGGTTCCCATTGTATTGTTTCTGTTATTACTTGTATTCAGACTTGAAGTCACTAGCATAGCAGTGCAAAACAATGCTCGACAACAATAAAATAGTATTTTGAAAACTAATATACTTATAATACGAAGATTAACAAACAACTAAGTGAAAAAACCACAAAGAAGCATGCGCAAAACCTGAACTGAGGGTTTAAGCGTTGCGCTGTGCCGCTACTGGTCTGCTATTGTTCGAATTTGAATCCGTCCACTGACCGACTAATGGGGTGAGGATGACTATATTTGCGGATTATGCTATATAACCACTTAAGGAGCATGTGAGCCCCAACTTGTTGATGTTGTTCTTCTGGTTATGGTAAGCTATTTGATTGATACGGTATCGTCACTATCTTCAGATCTTGCCAGTCTGTACTAAGGGCTACTTCGATGAAGAACGAAGGTACGACAGAAAAGCTACAGACGATCGGAATTGGAAGCATAATCTTGAAAAAGGATTCGAAAACTTCTGCAAGGCTATTAACAAAACAATAGACCTGGTTAGTCTTACATCTTTCGCATCAATGCAATGGGCATCGAGTCGCTTGTCCTAAACTAATTGAAATCTTCACGATACATGTATTTTGTTCTCGTTGATACGAAGAGAAATATGTTACTGGAAATTGCCGTGTAACTTTCGCGGTATACTCAGAAATTTGTTTATTCATCCTCCGTAAAAGTTTTTCAGATATACGTTACTGATAAATCGAAGCTACAGCTCCTTGATTCATACGTGTTTTATGGTGTGTA